GTCATTCACCCAATCCACTCCACTTTTAAGGATTAATCCTTGTAAAATATTTCGTACAATTTCTCGTTTCGCTCTTGCATTCGCCAAATCATTCGACAAAATTTTTAACTGTAACGTTACAGCTTGATTATTTCCTGAATTCTCGTAATATTTTTCAATTGGATTGGAAATAATTCGTTGATTTGCATCATCAATATTCTATTTTCTCTATTTCGAGCTAAATGAAATGATATAAATCAAAAGAGAGAATTTTGATTAATCTGTTCATACTACTTATTTCTATTCCTCTGCTCAATTTTTCTTTATGCTATTTTAAGCAGTTTAGTTTGATAATTTTCAGTTACGATTTTTGAGTCTCATTGATAACGATATTACGATAAGCAATACTTAACAAATTATTGGCAACTGTATTAATAAACAAAAATTTGCTACGGTAAACGCCGTGATAATTGCCAAGCATGATTATTGACAGAAACTGTTAAAATCCCACAATACAATGTCAAAAAATAGTTGGACAATTGGGGTTTATTATGATCGTAACACCGAAACTCCTTATGACCACTTTTTTTTCATTTAATTCCAACCAAGTTGAGAATTTCATTTAGATGAATGTTTTTTTTAAAAAAAAAAAATCTTTTAATAATAAGTAAAAGGAAACCTACGAACAAATTTAAAAATATAGAAGTTGACAATTTGCGTTTTAGTGTTAAGAAAAAAGTATGAAAAGAAAATTTTAAGTTATAACTGCGCAAATTATAAAAAATTGTACCGAACTAAAAATCATGAACACAACACAAACAACACAACCGTTCTACAAATTACCAAAATCGTCACCTATAGAAGAAAACCCACCAACCAACAACGGTTTTCAAACTTCCCCCACAAATTACATCGAAAACCAAGGACAATTAATACCTAAACGTTCAGCTCCTCCGCCACCGAAAGTAGCGCAAAAAGTCATCCAAATGAGCAGCGCTTCTGATTTGAATGGTACTAACCCCTCAGGAAAAGATAACCAGCGTCGTGGACATAAGAAACCAAATAGTCTAGGTCCTCCACCGAAACCTACTCGCTCAAATGAACCATCATATCAAGCGGCACTAGCAAGGAGCCCCTCTGCTGGTAGTGGTCAAAAACAAGGGCTCCCGGGTGAATCTCCCACTTCTCCAAAGTACGCGGCAAGTGGATATAGTTCACTTAAGGGAGCCCCCGCCATCAACGTTCATGGTGAGCCAATTCAACAATCTTCGACCAGTGAAAAAGACAGTAAACCCCTCAAGTTTTTCGGTAGTTTAATATCTGGTAAATATTTCTCGTTTGATTTCTTTCCTATCTTTCGACTAGAAAAATCGGCTTTTAAAAAAAAAACTTTACGTTAGCATAATGGAATTGTTGGAAAATTAAAAATTAAAGCAAATTTTAGAATATTAAAGTAACATAAATTTATATCAAAAAAAAAAAAAAAAAAAAAAAAAAAAAACTCAATTAAAATAGATTTTCTTGGGCCGAAAAAGAGAGTGGAAATTTCATCACCTTATGATCCGGTTCATTTAACTCATGTCGGATTCAATCAAGAAACTGGAGAATTTACGGTAGAGTATTGAAAAAATATCAATGCTTATTATGAGATAAATTTGTTTTTAAATAAATTATATCTTATGATCATATAGGGTTTACCAAAAGAATGGCAAACATTATTACAAGAGTCTGGTATTTCAAAACAAGACCAACAAGCGCATCCACAGGTATGTTGTTTAATTATCAGTAGCGCAAGGTTAATTTGATTTTTATATTTCTCATCCGCATACTAATGTGTGCTAATTTTTTTTTAATATATATATATATATAGGCAGTATTGGATATTGTAGCATTTTATCAAGATACAGCAGGTGGCAAAAATCCAAATGCAATTTGGGAAAAATTTAATAACGCAAAGATTGCAAATAAATCATCTCCATCTGTTACTCCAAGTTCACCAAAAGCGGTGGATAAAATATTTGAGAATCCCGTTAGTATCAAATATTTCAGATTTTTGATAATTTTGCATAAATTAACTATATGGTGAACAATTATTTGGGCAGGATTCATATAAGGATGAAATTTATTTATATTTCGTTTTCGAATTAGAGAACAGCACCGGTACCACCGGACAAGAGGAAACCTCCACCACCGACCGTCCCCACAAGACCATCGAACCCAACGACGGTAATATTTTAAAGAAAACGGTGTATCAGTGATTTTTTTTTTTCGAGTTAAAATAGTAATAATAATTTTTTATGTAGAATCAGAAAAATCACAAAGGTTCCAAAAACAATTCTACGTCTCCCCCCAAGCCATCGCGTAGCAGTGAGTATATTATCGTGTAATCGTTTTAAGGCTAGCCTTGTCATAATGTGTTTATTTTAAAATATTTATATTAGACACGACGGACCCTCCGAGACTCCCGCCAATAACACCGTTACCTCCCCTTGAAAGTAAAACGTTACCTCATCCTCCACCAAAACCCAAGCCGCCTCGTCATAATCCAAATAATCAAGGGAACCCAACAAATCCTTCAGCGTCAAAAACCCAATCACCATCAACTAACGTTGGTCAAGGTCCCAAAGTACCACAACAAGCAGGAAGCCAAAGACGCCCTCCTCAACGTAATAAGCAAAATAAGGATTCTGGAAATATAATTGATAGATTGAATGCAATTTGTAGTGAGGGAAACCCCGAGCTCTTTTATACTAATTTGGTCAAAATTGGTCAAGGGTGTGTAAACCAATACGTTATGTTTGACTTAATTTGTATGTTAAATAACATATGTACCTTTATTTATTTTTAGAGCTTCCGGTGGTGTATACACCGCTTATCAAAAGGGTACTAATTTGTCTGTTGCTATTAAGCGAATGAACCTTGAACAACAACCAAAGAAGGATCTCATCATAAATGAAATTTTGGTAATGAGAGAATCTAAACATAAAAATATCGTGAATTTCATTGATAGTTATCTTTTTGCCGGAGAACTTTGGGTCATTATGGAATATATGGAAGGTGGTAGTTTGACAGATGTAGTAACAACTAATATCATGTCGGAAGGCCAGATTGCAAGAGTTTGTATAGAGGTAATTCAAAACTTGGTGTCCATTTATATATATACACACATATTAAATAATTTTAAGAAAATGATTAGATGCCTTATATAATTTTGTTTGTAGACGTTGAAAGGGTTAAACCATTTACACGAAAAAGGTGTCATTCACAGAGACATCAAGAGCGATAATGTACTATTATCATTGCAAGGAGACATCAAATTAAGTGCGTTTAGGAAACCTTTATTTAAATCTCATTAGCGTCATTCTTATTACATTTTAATTCATCATTTTGTATCTCTGTTTCAAATTTCGTAGCCGATTTCGGTTTCTGCGCGCAAATCAATGAACATAATAACAAACGTACAACAATGGTTGGCACACCATATTGGATGGCCCCAGAGGTTGTAACACGCAAAGAATACGGTCCCAAGGTTGATATATGGTCATTAGGTATTATGGCAATTGAGATGATAGAAGGAGAGCCACCGTATTTGAACGAGAATCCTTTAAGGGTTTGTATGATTTGACTTTTTTAAATTTCGCATCATTTCAAAAACCTATTGCTAATATAAATCATTTTATCGTTTGACAGGCTTTATATTTAATTGCAACAAATGGTACACCACAATTACAAAATCCTAACGGTATTTCACAACAATTCAGATTATTTTTAAATGAGTGTTTAGAAGTTGATACAGAAAGGAGACCAACCGCATCAGAACTTTATGATGAAATAGAAGAGGGTAACAAAACCATAATTAAATGTCATCGTTTCTTAGAGAAAGCCGATCATCAGAATACACTTGTGCCTCTAATCAAAGCTGCACGAGATAGTTCAAGGAAATAAACTTTTCTTTAACAAAAAAAAAAATATATATTAATAATAATAATAATCTGGGTAAAAAATTATTAACCAAAAAAAAAAAAAAAAAAAATGGAGTTTATAACTTCAATCAATAATATCTTGTTTATTTTTGTATTTTTGTTACTGTATTTTATTAGTAGTGTCTATTTTGAATATTATTTATATATGGACATTCTGTACGATTTATTTATTATTTATTATTTATTATTTTAGTTATTATTTATTTTCTTAGACTTTTCGTTTGAGGAAATAATATTTTAGGTTCTCAGGGTGGATTTAATGTTGAAATTTTTTTTTTTCTGTGTTAAACCGGCTTTAGTTACACACATCAATGTATATCCTGTTTTCAACCCATTTCAACTTTTCCGTTTATTCATCGCAATTATCAACACCATGAATCAATAATTTATATATTTATATATATATATCTATTTACAACCAACATCATAGATTTCTTATTTTAGCTTTGCGTTTGTTTCCGTTTGTCTATTTTTTGCTTTACTTGTAGATTCATTATATATATTTATTTATTTTGTTCATTCAACTTCCATTTTTTTTAAAAAAAAAATCTGCGCAAAAAGTCAGTTAGGAACGTGCTTAAATTATTGTAATATTAATTAATTTATTTTTATTATAATGAGATGAAGTATAAAAATTAATTTTTTTTTTTGAAATGATGATCATTAATTAATTTAGGTACTGTACAAACCTAACCATAGTTTTGTGTAATATATAATAAAATAATAATAACAAAGAGCATTCAAAATTAGGAAACGTATGTTGTACGAAGAAGATTACATGTGATTAATTAAGATAATTAATTAACATTTTCTTTATTGCGAAATTAGGATTTCGACGAAAAAAATCCAACGAAATCGGATTCTAGTTCAACATTAGCACGTGTCTACAAAACTGCGGTTAAGTTAAAATTTTCGTTAAGCCACAGGTGGTCAGTCACGCGACCTAATAGCATTTAAAACAGATGCGAATTAAAAATTTTTTTCCTGTAAATTTTTTTTTGCGGTTGCGTCGACTTTTTGATTCAGATCTAAGTCGCGATGAAGCACACTAATTACTATGATGTTCTCGGTGTTGAAACGAGCGCCTCTGAAAGTGAAATCAAAAAGGTAGAAAACAAAACTCACCCAGGCTTTTATATAAGTGTAATGCCATATTGCTTATGTTTTAATAATTCTATCTTTCCATGCGTAGGCATACCGCAAGTTAGTAAGTTTTAAAGAAGCTCTGGCTGATTCGTTGTAAAATCATTTATTAAAAATTACAAAATTTTTAAAAAGAATTGTATTCATTTTTATCAATGTGAATTACGTGTCATACCCGATCATATCATAAGATAAAAGGATTAATTTACTTACATCTTTATTCGTTGTCTTTATAGGCAATGAAATATCATCCCGATAAAAATCCGGATGAGAAGGCATCTGAAAAATTTAAAGAGATTAGTCATGCATATGATGTTTTGAGTGATCAAGAGAAACGGTAAGCCAATTAATTGAAAACTATACAATTCATTTCCAAAACGCGTCAAAATTGATTAAAAATTTGTATTGAAATAGTGAATTATATGATCAATATGGTGAGGAGGGATTATCTGGTGGAGGGGGTTCGAATATGTCACCCGAAGAATTATTTGCAAGCTTCTTCAGTTTTGGCGGAATGGGAGGTTGGTGCAACTTGCCCTTTTTTTCAAAAATCGTTACATTGATTATGAAAAACTTAGGTTGATGAATTTTTATTTAGGTGGTGGACCTTCCAGACAAAGGCGTGGAGAAGATATTATTAAACCTTTCAACGTTACTTTGGAAGATCTTTATAATGGAAAAACTACCAAAGTTTCCTTACAGAGAGACATCGTTTGCCCATCATGTCACGGGTATATAACATGTTTAACTAGTCGTTAGAAATATTACTATATACTCTGATCTAATGTTGGATGAATATTTTTAACATTTATATAGAAAAGGTAGTAAGAGTGGGGCCACAAGAAAATGCCCTAGTTGTGAAGGACGCGGAGTTAAGGTCGCCATGCGACAAATCGGTCCTGGCATGATTCAAAGGATTAACACGGTTTGTCCTAGCTGTACGTATTTAACTATGTATTTTTTTAGTGTGCGCGCGTTTCTTTTTTTTATTTTCCATCATTTATATTTACCTATTATCTAAAAGGCGATGGTGAAGGAGAAGTAATTAGGGAAAAAGATAGGTGCAAAAAATGTAAAGGTGTTAAGACCATAGAAGAAAAAAAAATATTGGACATTTTTATTGAGAAAGGTATGCAAAACAATCAAAAAATCATTATGCAAGGTGAAGCTGATCAAGAGGTATTATACGAACTCAAAGTAATTGATGTTTATTGTTTGTATGAAATAACTTGTTAACATATAATTATCTATAATTGTACCTTATGATGGTAGCCCGGTGTTGAGACTGGTGATGTAATTCTTGTCCTCAAACTAGCACAACATGAAAGATTTGAGCGACAGGGTAATGATTTACTAACAGAAGTTAGTATCTCAATTACTGAGGCGCTTTGTGGGTTTTCAAAGGTTCTTGTAAAACACTTGGATGGGCGTGGGTTGGTTATAAATCATCCTGCTGGGGAAGTGATAAAACCTGGTGCTGTAAAATGCATAGTAGGTGAGGGCATGCCACAATATAAACGACCGTTCGACAAAGGTAACTTGTATATTAAGTTCACCATAGAATTCCCAACCGACATGTGGATTACTCCGGATAAAATCAAGGTACCAGTTAGTTCATAAATGTAATTTGTTCTTAGATTATTTATTATATATATAAATATATGTATGCATTAAAATTAGCAATTAGAAACGCTTTTACCAAGCAGAAAAGTAGAAGAAGTTTCACGTCCGGATGTCATTGACGAAGTGCATTTGACCGAAGGAGACTTTAGCGAGGTAAATTAATTGTTCTTATTGTCATTATTATATGATATTTGATCAATTAACTAATTCAGTTGCTTTTGATATAGTATGGTAACAAGAAAGCTAAAGGTGGAAATGTATGGGACGAAGATGATGACGAAGACGACGACGAAGGAGATCATCATTTGGGATGCAAACAACAATAAATGTATTATTGGTTGTGAAATCTGGTTACATGGACTATAGGATTTCCTTTTTATAACATTGGAGGAAATGAGTTATATTCGTATTATCTAATCAATTAATTAAACAGTGAAAATTTTATGTTTCTACATATCTTTTTTTTTTTTTTTCCTCTCTTTCCTACGATTGCATTTAGGACATTAATGGCATTTTAAATTTAATATTTTCATTATCATTATGTAGAGGGTTAAATGAATGTTTGTATCATGCTTTTATTAGGAAATTTTTTTTTGTCAAGGGATTCTTTAATAGGACCAATTTTTTTTTGAAATTTTGATCTTGGGATAATAATTAATTTTTTTTTCTTTTTTCGACTTGAATATATACTTTTTTTTGTTATAAATAGATATAATAAAAGTTATAGTATTTTGTATTTTAATTTTTATTTTAATTGATTAAATAAATAAAAAAAAAAAAAATCATCTTTTAATTATAAACTTAGTAATCTATGTAATAACAATCTCTTTAATGGGCGCCATTGATAATTCGTTAGTCACAGAAGCATATCACATGACCATTTGTAATGGGGTTTATTGAAACGTGGCGCAGCATATGCTAATTTTCATGACTTTGCACCTGTACAGTACAAGAACTATACAAAAATAGGTTTGGAAAACGGTTTGAATATTCCAGTGACATTCTCATAAAAAAAAACCTCAAATGGAGAAATTCTGCGCTGAAATTATACGCAGGGCTACACATCAAACGCTTGCATCTGCAGGCTTCGAAAAGAGTTCAAGAATCAGCGGAGATGTGCTTGCTGATGTTTTAAAAGAGTATTTAATGTTTTTAGGAAAATCTGCTCAAGAAGCCGCAACGAATGCTGGTAGGACTAAAGTTAATACCACCGACGTCTTGGTAGCCTTTGAAGACCTTGGTATAAACTTGGAGGAGTTGAGGGAATGGTCAAAAACCGAAGGGAAAGTTCTTGGAGGTTATGCTGGACGAAAGCCAACTATCTTGAAAGGTATTACACGTATATTTTATTTAAAGATTTTGATTCGATTTGATTCGACTTGATTTGATTTGAATTTTTTTTTTTTAAAAAAAAAAAATAAAATAATTCGTACATCATCTTACTCATTTATTTGATAGACTTGTTAAAAAGTGGACTTTCAAGTGAGGCAGAAGATAATAATTCACCGGTGGTTGAAGCGAAAGAAAAGGATAAAATTGAAAAGAACGGTCAAAGTTCAAGAAAAACGGAACATTTAGGTCAAAGGATTCAAATAAAGGAACTGACACCAAAAAAATTAGGGAGTAACGAAATTGAGGACAATATGAAAGAAGTGGAAGAAGACATGATTATAGATATTGAAGGAATAAGTGAAATAAATACACCGTTACAGAATCATTCTAAAAATAATCATAGTAAAGATGATGATAATGTGTCCTCGTCTATTGACGAAAATGAATTATCAGCTCTTTCTTCGGATCAGACGACACCAATAGACGATGGGAAAGTTCCCAATACAAACGGTGAAATTACAAAAGAGCATATAGAAGAGTTAAATCATAATGAAGGGTTATCAAGTACAAAAAAGAGACCTTCTTATATTCCTGATTGGCTTCCACCATTTCCCGAGATTAAATCACATGAAGAACCTGTAAAAGAGGATCAAAAGGTGGAAATCAAAGAAAAAACAAAAGAATCAAGTGAATTGACAGAATCAACGATTTCAATAGAGGGGGGAACACCAAAACCTATCGATAATATGATAACCAGTCAAGAAAGCATACCGGAAATTCAAAGATCGATTAGTAAATCTGCCGATTCATATGTTAAAAATAGATACTCCAAACAAAAACTCAAACGTCCACTCGCATATGTTGTACTAGACGAATTATTTGAGAAGGCACTTACAAGCGAGTCTATACCCGGAGAGTTATCATTTGATGCTTCAAGGAAAAAGCGTAAAATTGTAGAATTCGATAGTTTGCTTTCGTTTGAAGATTCATTGTTTAGCGAACCTGAAATCCCCGCGATGGATGACAAAGATGCAAAGGATCTAATGGAATCTTATGGTTATCCATTGCGACTTAATGAATCACCAATACAACGGCATAAGCATGTTGAAATAACATCAAAAGGTAACATAGATGGTAATATAAAAGCACCTGCACAGATTAATGATGTTACTTTATCATCAGAAACGAAACTTTCTAAAACTTTACAAACAAAATCTTCAGTATCGCGTAAAGGAAAGGAAAGAATGATCCCGGAGATCATTGATTTCCGAGAGCCCGATTTGTCCGTTGTTCCTATAGAATCCTCAAAAGCACTTAAAAAGAAAGATCTAAAGAACAGTAAAGTTAAAAGATCAAATCTTAAAGTTTCAACAACGAAAGTTGATAATACCGAAAAATTATCGGAGTTTAATCGACCGAAACTGAAATTACGTATAAAATCGGCATCTACGCCACCCTCTGAATCACAACCTGAAGTAGTAGATGTCATTAATTGTATTTGTCCTCCTCCAAATAATACGTTAGACGATGGAAATTTTATGGTATCTTGTGATAGTTGTCAAGTATGGTTTCATGGAATTTGTACTGGCTTTGGTCCTCATTCCGTTGAAGTGGGTACTTGGTACTGTAAAAGATGTCTTGACCGTGGTATATTATGAAAGAACCTTTTTTTTTTTAATTTTTTTTTTTTTTTTTTTTTTTTTACAAAAAAAATCCTTGTTTTGCTATTATCCCAATTTTATCATAATTTTTTTTTTGAAAATTTTTTCTTTTTCCTGTTTATCTTATTAATTAACAGAGTAAAAAAAAAAAAAAACAGAGCAATACTTTGGAATTTTGAGGAAGTTTTTTGATTATATAAGTATCTATATTACCGTGTTTAAGGATTCTTTTTAGCAATTTGCAGATTTACCATTGAATCACAGGTTGAATTCACGTTTATTGTCGTTGATGCTGTATAAATATATCTTCCATAACTTAATTTTCGTTCACATCACGCGTTTAACTTACAAAATCTATTAATATTAAAAACATTTATATATATACTTAAAGTATAGGAACAAATTTAATCTGGCATTAAATCATATGTATGAAATTTCATACTATATCTATTTGTAATGTGATAAATTTTCGGAATTGTAAACGTACATTCTTGAATCGTTAAGAAAATTCTTCAATGAATGAATGAAAATACTTCTAAATTGAAATCTCAGTCTTAAAGAAATACTGTAAACTAAATGATTTCTCTCAAAAAAAAAAAAAAGATAAAAAGAAGAAATAATTAGAAACATTTTATAATCTGAGATTTTTTTGTTAAAAAAGGTCGCGTTTTAATTAGAAGATACATAAGTAAATTACGCTTTAAAATTTTTTTTTTCGTATTTATGAATTTTATCTAAAATATAGTTTAAAGATTAAAAAAAATTTCAATATAGCTATTGATAAAATTATCATTATTATTTAATTTTGATATTTCATTACTGCTGTTTTTGTTCTTTAATAGGATTTAAAGAACAATTTTGATATTTTATTTAATTGTATAATATGTAATAATATATTTTTTTTAAAAAATTTGTAACTTTGTAATTCAAATATTATTATATTTTATCAAACAATTCTGTTGATAAATCTATTTATAATTAATCTATAATATATAAAAAAGCATTTAATTGAAAATTAATTTTTTTTTTAATTACTATTTTATATTAATAATTATTTTTTAAATAATTAAAAAGCTTTCATTATAAAATTATTATTTTTAATTATATTAATAAAAATATTGTTGAATAGTTCTATTAATCAATGCTTTTTTTTCATAGCTAACTTAGTTAAACATCGAAAATTATTTAAATTTTTATCACAATAATAAATAGAACAAGGTTCATTATTAATCTTTTATCATAGCAAAATTTTAATATATTTATTGTATTTTATACGTTTAATTAAAGTTTAATTTTTATATATTATATATTTTATGTTAT